CCTTTCAAAGCAAATTGGAAACGTACCGTTTTCTTCCTTTCAGACGCATGGCGTCTCAACTTTGTTTCTTGTGAACCTTTGTACATCGAAGTGTTTCGTATCCAAGCACACTACTTTGTAAATCGTGCCTTCAATATCGCAATGATGAGGATTGTCACAATTACGTGTGCGTGAAAAACAAAGCTCTATTTATTGTTTTCTTTAGCTAAATCCAACCGTCATATTTGCCGATGACGATCCGCATTCAACGGCTAGGTGATTTTAAAATATCCTCTTTAAATACCTCAGAATCCTTCTGACTCGTCTCCTAAAAAAAACCCTAAAATTTTGCGAAAAAGTTTCGAACTTTCCTTTTGCAAACCAAGTTTGAGGTTTTCACCACTTTCACATCACTTCACTTGATCTTCTCAATTCCTTCTACCCAAAACCAAATGGTGGCATCCTCTAGCAGGGTCCCTTTAACTAGAATGCGCAGCCATGATGAGTGTCAAGTTTTCGTGAAGCACCATCAAGACCTCCTAAACAAATGTAAAGTATGGTGGGAGAAAGACTATAATACTTTTGTCTCTCTCCTCAAGCCTAACGACCCTCGTCGCCTTTGCACTACAATCCACCCATGATATCTTGATTTAGGTCTGAGATTTCTCATTCCAGACTGTTGAAGGGCGTCTTAGTCAGCTACGACATGGCATCAACAACTTACCCATGCTGCTCTTAGGCTCATTACTTGCTTCAAATTGCTAAATTAATGGTACGAGGCTGAACTTAATATGCCAAAATTCTGTAGGCTATATAGTGTGCGAATGAGCTCCGACGAGCATTACTTTTTTCATCCAAGACATGGTGTCATGTGGTTGTCCTATATTCTTAATGTGCCATGGTAATACAAAGATTGGTATATGGATGCCTTAGTTATGGACGGCGACCAAGAAGAAGATATATTTGACATTCGAGTCAGGGATGCCCATTACTGGTGTTTCACTAAAAAAATGACCTAGAAAGTATTAGGCTTTGTCATCTAGTACTGATACTGCGAGCCTTCCAAGTTCCTACAGAGAACTGTACTTGGATGTGGCAAACTTCTCCCGCACGCTTCAAGGAGTGCATAAAAGACACGATCTTTAAGCACTACTTCAAGTTTCCCATTCTAGATGCAGACTGGATTGAAGAAAAGAAAGTACACATGAGAATCTATACGTTCAAATCCATCACCCCAACATCATTAGATAAGATAAAATGAAAACGTTTCGACGTCAAGCCCTTTAAGCCTTTGGGAGGGTCATCCCAGAAGAAGTTGGTATTGGCGGAAGGGGAAAGTCGAAGTACACTTGTAAGCTTAAAGGCAAAGGAAAAGGAGAAGGTTTATCTATTCGAAGAAGAATACTGTGTTCTACTCTGTCATCCGTCGTGGAAAGAACTGCATTTCTTCAAGTCGTCGTTGATAATCCTCATACTTCTCCTCATCAATTATCCTTACAATTGCAACCACGTCTTTCCTCATCTCATCCATCTTTAGATGAGACTCAGCCAATTCTTCATGTCTTAGAGGTTTTGTTTCTGCCACTCTGTAAGCACATCAGAGTCAAGGCTTAAACTTTTTCCTCTGTATCTGCTCCCACTCCGCCTTTATCTCACTAGTGTCCCAAAATCCACTAGGTCTTACACTGGTGGTCACAGAGCCAGTGGTATTTCATAAGTTGCTCTGCCTTAGTTTAAGCGAACGACTCAACCCTCCTTGTGGCTTGGTCGTCTTTGGATCGTGTCGTGCTGTCGGCGATTGCTTCTAGTCTTCATAATGTCGATCATGCCCAAACTCTTCTTAAGGCCATGATTGCCCTAGCAGACAACAAAAAAGTTTTCACATCCTTCGAATACCTCATTTTGAGGTGTAATGAAGGTTGTTATGTGGTAAGTAATTCCCGTGCCTTAGCCTCCTGATTGGATAATTCAGGTTGTATTCTCCTGATACATTTCATTTGAACAAACTCATGTTTGGAAAAAGGCGGTTTTCCGGCACAGAACGAAGTAGATTTGACACTTAGAGGTTGCTTAGCGGAATGGATTGGGGTAATTGCATGCGTTGTTGGTATAGCTGGAAAAAGTACACATAGAACTGGAGAAACAACGGAAAGAACATCATGCCCCAACGAAGATGCACACAGTAGTGGCATGGGATCTATTAAACCGAGCCACTTGTGAAAAGGCAAGGGTGAACAATCTTGAAGTTGCATTTACCAAGGTCAAAGGAGAATTAGGGTAGAAGCTCGAAGCTAGGTCTGAGGTGTAGCGAGTCCTATATTTGAAGCGGATCTCCTGGGAAACAGAGTAAACAATGCTGCACTCGAAGGTGGACTAGCTGCATCGTGAGATAGAGCAGAAGGAAGATGCAAACTTGGCGACTCTTCAATTAGCCAAAGATGAGAATGAGGCAGACGTCAAAGGGTTGCGTGCATCGTTCAAGGCGGTGTCATTCTTGCGGTACTTTGAATGATATGGCTTTAGTTTCTTAACAAGTTACACTGGGCAAAGCCATCACAAAGACTGGGATCCTCATCGAATTTTATCGAATATCAAAATAGCTAACCTTAACATCTTTGAGCATTTGAGGAGTGACTTCATGGAGACGTCTGTCGATGAGGACTCTAGTCCAAATGATCCAACTAGTGAGGCTACTGTAGCTGACGATAAATGGAAGTTGGTAATGGTGGAGCCTGACTCCAAGGGGCAATGCAGTTGAATGATTTTTCTTGCATTCAGATACTAAGCCGGCTAGGAAAAGGCAATGTCCCTTCCATAACTTTCTTGAACATCTTTCCCTCTGTCATGGAACTTGGGTTTTTGCATTTTATTAAATAGGCTTGCTTGCTTTTCTTGCATATTTTGTTTTGGTGAAATGATTATACCCAAGTGCTTGAGCTTGTCCAGGGGAAAAATTCTCTAGGATTCTTCACTATGTGTTTCCATATAATGGGTGCACTTTAGTCTAGTAAGTTTGTGTGCCTGGGACAGAGCTTAATGCTCCCCTATGTAGCTTTGATTTAAGAAAACGCTACCTCCCATATGTAGCGTTTATAAATATTTCCATCGTAATAGCCGGAGTACCACCTTATTTCAACCTCTGGCCTTTGGCCCATGAAAAACATTCTTGCCCTAGACTCACTTTTGAGCCAATCAGACTAAAGGTAAAGAGTCGTTAGATAATACATGTAATGTCCTTCGAGTTATTGAGGTCTTTTACTTCGAGTTAGTCCAATTGTCAATTCTTCACACGTTTGTTTGTTCACCTTGTTCCATTCCGAGTATGATGATTTAGATATTGCAATGTGTAACTAAGAAGAGGCGTTTTTTTTTCTCAATTCGGATTATCGGTCCATCCTTAGTGAATCTTAAACGAAAGTTCATTATGGACTTGGTCACCTACATGTGGGTTAGAAACACTTTTTAAAAGCTTTTGTCAGACCCTATGCGTTGGACCTAAGCATCTCTGATCGAACTACACTTAGCTGACTTGGCTAAATCACTTCCTCCATTGGAATAAAATTCCTCTTGAGGATTTTCCTTGTCTGTATGCCTTCTTCAGACTTGCTTAACATATAGGGTTGCATAACTTACTTGACTAAGTATGCTAGTCTGGGATAAAAGTGATAGTACTCGAGGTTAGGACTCAAAGCCACCTTTCATATGATTTCTGGATTGCCCTTTCGATCAATATCTCTAATGACATAGAGCCTGGGTTTGAATGTCATAACCACAACCTTCACGTTGCATAATCTTCTGGGAGCCGGATGGTACACTAGACTTACGGGTCAGGGGGCCATGTTCTCGTACTTGTAGTCCGTCAATTGTAACCCCACTTATTACGGTTTGAGTTTCCAAGATGCTAACCGAACAATACGGAGTGGGCTAAAGGAGACTCCTTTAACACTTTCACTTTGAATTTTTAGACTTGCAATTATGTGAAGTTTCAAAGTTACAAGTCATGAAGAAGTTGAAAAGATGGATTTACACCAAGCCACATGCATGTAGGTCATGTGGACAAAAAGACCATAACTTCAAAGGTTATATCTTAAGACTATTTTAAGCAATTGAACTCACGAAATTGTACTAGAAGTGAAAAAATTAAACAGTTTTGATTATGAATATTCTACAATGAAAATACGTTATTTGCAAGTGGGAGAATGAACTCATCATTAAGAAAAGAATGCAAGTATTATATTGTTTGAGCTATGTCAAGCTAAAAATTTCGATTTTTATTTAAATTCTAAGTTTATTTCTCACTCAAAAAGAGAGTGATATTAATTATTTATTAATACATTTTTGACCTTGCGTCATCCTTGTGCACATCCCAACTCTTTGCAATTCCCACTACCTAACCCGTTGCCAGAATTCTCATAAGAGATTAACCATAATGTAAAACGCTAGCTCCAAAAGAAAGTATCATTTAAATTAAAAGGGTTGATTGTATAGTGAAGCAGTCTATCATAGTCACAATTGGTACGTGCCTCAAGCCAATGGCCAAGCATAACCGAGTATTAAACTCACCTCAAATCGAAGTTCACATATATCTTATTGGGGAAGTACTTAATTATTGATGATCAACGTACTAATTATGGATATGTATAAATTCGTCGACAGTAGTTATATGGTCGAATATTTTTTTAATTAATTTGTTAACAAAGTATGGAGATTCATGCACTCCCCTACCTCCTCTCGATCGTTGTATTTTATGGTACTTCAAGTTCACAAATGATCGTGACTTAGTTTACAAGCTTGGATTCTTTCATATTAGACTGCATTTGACTATGCCAAAAACCCTGAGTATTGAAATTCTACTTAAATTTATTAAGATTAGAATAACATACAAGAAGATTCAAAATACAAGCCCATTATTGAACTAAAATTAACATGAAATACTATTGGTTCACACTACCAATTTATTAAAAGTCCCCATGCATGCATACGAGAAATTAAAGTGCGTGGGCTATTACAAATGCACCAACTCAGACATTTTCTAAAGTGAGTATTCCTTCAACAATTGGGAAAATGCCGCTGCCAGTTGAGATCATTGAAACACATCCGTTCCATGTGTCCTTATGGTAGAACTGAGACCGAGTAGCACACAAGCGCTTGTTGACTTCGCCCCAAGTTGCTTCATTGTTAAAGTGGTTAGTTTTGCGAACCTCCGTGTAGACCTGCACACGTACATACGCATTGTAAATGAATGAGGATGATCATGAGATAACCGCGCTCATACCTGATAAATCATTGTGAGATGACTCAATTCTCTACAAATTTGTTTATTCTAAGTAAACATGCTTTGAGATATATGAAATGCGTTCGATTTCAAATATGTATATACAGATAAAATCACTACTTACCCTGTTGTCCCATGTAACCCTGTCCTTCGGGTTGGCCCAACTCAGCATCCAGTCGCAATTGATACCACCAGCGTTCTTTCCGCGATACACTACAGCGGCAGAAGAGCCCCATTGAATTTTGGGGTCTCTGACGTGCAGAAACGCAGCCCACTGGCCATTTGCAATAAGTGGTGGGTATGGGGACTTTCCCATGAGGCCAACCAATCTTTTTGACCAACATATTCTAGAGTGCTTCCCGTCGCATTGTAAACAAGGCAGAGAGTGGCGATTCCGGCACCGGATTCTGCCTTCAATTTTTCCACACGTGTTCGCGCTTTAACGTCCTTCCCGGCCACGTTTTTCATATTCATGGCCACGCGTGCCCTGTCGATTCTTTCAATTTGCCCCCGCCTATCTGCATACTCTCGCATGCCCTCCAAAGTTGCGTTTGTGATGGGTTCGCCAAAGACGTTATCTGCCATCTCTCTCAGAATCAAGACTCAACTCATTCGACTCAACTCATTAATTCCCTACCTCCCTCCGTCTGTACATTTTCATCCTATATACATGCATGCATATATATATATATAGACACACACACGTATACATGCACTGTCATATACAAATATATTATTCATTATTAAATAAATAATATAATTATTATAAATATTATAATGAATAAGGATAAGTCATCTTGTTAAATTATCAAATGTTATCATTCATTTCCTAGTTTTCATAATTATTCTAATTAAATCGATTAGAAACCAACAAATAGTAAGTGGACCTACAGTACAAAAAACCCACTCGCTAGATGAAAACAAGTTGCTTCCGAAAGCAGGCGTTCGTCGCCTAGGTTCTAAGATGACAGATATGGATAGTAATTTAACTTGCCAAATTCGATTCCTGTAGGTGCTGATTCGAACAGATCAGTTTTGGGGGATTAAATTTTGAGTATTTTAAGGTTATGAGTAATCGTCGGGTAAATTTTTCGATTTCGAATTCGGTTATAGTTATTGAGGTATCCCGTATCCACCCCAAACCTATTCTCGAAATCATACCATTTTCATTTTTTAGACTTGCAATTATGTGAAGTTTCAAAGTTACAAGTCATGAAGAAGTTGAAAAGATGGATTTACACCAAGCCATATGCATGTAGGTCATGTGGACAAAAAGGTCATAACTTCAAAGGTTATATCTTAAGACTATTTTAAGCAGCTGAACTCACGAAATTGTACTAGAAGTGAAAAAATTAAACAATTCTAATTATGAATATTCTACAATGAAAATTTCGATTTTTATTTAAATTCTAAGTTTATTTCTCACTCAAAAAAGAGGGTGATATTAATTATTTATTAATACATTTTTTATCTTGCGTCTTCCTTGTGCACATCCCAACTCTTTGCAATTCCCACTAACTAACCCGTTGCCAGAATTCTCATAAGAGATTAACCATAATGCAAAACGCTAGCTCCAAAAGAAAGTGTCATTTAAATTAAAAGGGTTGATTTTATAGTGAAGCAGTCTATCATAGTCACAATTGGTACGTGCCTCAAGCCAATGGCCAAGCATAACCGAGTATTAAACTCACCTCAAATCGATGTTCACATATATCTTATTGGGGAAGTACTTAATTATTGATGATCAACGTACTAATTATGGATATGTATAAATTCGTCGACAGTAGTTATATGGTCGAATATTTTTTTAATTAATTTGTTAACAAAGTATGGAGATTCATGCACTCCCCTACCTCCTCTCGATCGTTGTATTTTATGGTACTTCAAGTTCACAAATGATCGTGACTTAGTTTACAAGCTTGGATTCTTTCATATTAGACTGCATTTGACTATGCCAAAAATCCTGAGTATTGAAATTCTACTTAAATTTATTAAGATTAGAATAACATACAAGAAGATTCAAAATACAAGCCCATTATTGAACTAAAATTAACATGAAATACTATTGGTTCACACTACCAATTTATTAAAAGTCCCCATGCATGCATACGAGAAATTAAAGTGCGTGGGCTATTACTAGGCCTGGCAAACGGGTAGTGTCTGTCGTGTTCGTGTCGTTTTCATGTAACACATGTTATCTTAACGGGTCGTGTCGTGTCACACCCGTTATCTTAACATGTCCGGGTAAAGTGACCCGACCCGTTATGACCCGTTAAGAAAAATATTTTTTTTTCTTAAATTTGCACATATCACACATTGCCACATAAATATTACTTCAAAACATTAAAACACATTTGTCGATTAAGTATTACATCTACACTCGAAAATAAGTGCCTAATAAAAAAATAATACATACACTACTAATCTATTACAAATATTAAATGTGCAAGGATATGCAAAATGAAAAAGTTTTTGTTTTCAAGGTTGTGAAGTCTTTCTCAAAAGTTTAAACCTCAATTTACAAAATCCTCGATTTACATCAATCATCATGAAATTGTATTAGAACTTTGGCTTGATCTCAGCCAATCCAATGGTCATCAAATTTTTAAATTTAATTTAATATATATATATATATATAATTATATTATATAATTATTATAGTTTTTAGGGGTATAAAATTGTTAAATTATTATATATAATTATTATAGTTTATTCATACTTTTATTAAGTATAACATAAGATTTTATAATATCCACTAGTGTAAATATTTTAAATTGAAGATCGAATTCATTCTTTGTATTCATATAAGGTCAAGGAGTGTAGCTGTAAAAAATCATCAAAATCAGAGTTAAAATAACCGTTAAATCGTGATTTTTCGTTTTATAACCGTCAAAAAGTTTTGTCCCGTTACTTGATCTCTGAATCTTTGTTTTTTTGCAATTTTTGGCGTATGCGATCTCGAAGTATATACAAACATGTTTGACCGTTGAAACTAGTTTCGTAGAATGCGTGTATCTCATCAAAACAATAGATTCACTAACACTTAAAAGTTTATTCATACTTTCATTAAGTATAACATAAGATTTTATGGCATCCACTAGTGTAAATATTTTAAATTGAAGATCGAATTCAATCATTGTATTCATATAGGGTCAATGAGTGTAGCTGTAAAAAATCATCAAAATCGGAGTTAAAATGACCGTTAAATTGTGATTTTTCTTTTTATAACCGTCGAAAAGTTTTGTCCCGTTCCTTGATCTCTGAATGTTTGTTTTTTGCAATTTTTGGCGTATGCGATCTCGAAGTATATACAAACATGTTTGACGGTTAAATCATTGAAACTAGTTTCGTAGAATGAGTATCCCATCAAAACAATAGATTCACTAATACTTAAGAGTTTATTCATACTTTCATTAAGTATAACATAAGATTTTGTGGTATATAGTAGTATAAATATTTTAAATTGAAGATCAAATTCATTCATTGTATTCATATTGGGTCAAGGAGTGTAGCTGTAAAAAATCATCAAAATCGGAGTTAAAATAACCGTTAAATCGTGATTTTTCGTTTATAACCGTCAAAAAGTTTTGTCCCGTTACTTGATCTTTGAATGTTTGTTTTTTGCAATTTTTGGCGTATGCGATCTCGAAGTATATACAAACATGTTTGATGGTTTGATCATTGAAACTAGTTTCGTAGAATGAGTATCCCATCAAAACAATAGATTCACTAATATTTAAGAGTTTATTCATACTTTCATTAAGTATAACATAAGATTTTGTGGTATCCACTAGTGTAAATATTTTAAATTGAAGATCGAATTCATTCATTGTATTCATATAGGGTCAAGGAGTGTAGCTGTAAAAAATCATCAAAATCGGAGTTAAAATAACCGTTAAATCGTGATTTTTCGTTTATAATCGTCGAAAAGTTTTGTCCGGTTACTTTATTTCTGAATGTTTGTTTTTTGAAATTTTTGGCGTATGCGATCTCGAAGTATATACAAACATGTTTGACAGTTGGATCATTGAAACTAGTTTCGTAGAATGAGTATCCCATCAAAACAATAGATTCACTAATACTTAAGAGTTTATTCATACTTTCATTAAGTATAACATAAGATTTTATGGTATCCACTAGTGCAAATATTTTAAATTGAAGATCGAATTCATTCATTGTATTCATATATGGTCAAGGAGTGTTGCTGTAAAAAATCATCAAAATCGGAGTTAAAATAACCGTTAAATCGTGATTTTTCATTTATAACCGTTGAAAAGTTTTGTCCCCTTACTTTATCTCTGAATGTTTGTTTTTTGCAATTTTTGGCGTATCTGATCTCGACATATATACACACATGTTTGACGGTTGGATCATTGAAACTAGTTTCGTAGAATGAGTATCCCATCAAAACAATAGATTCACTAATACTTAAGAGTTTATTCATACTTTCATTAAGTATAACATAAGATTTTATGGTATCCACTGGTGTAAATATTTTAAATTGAAGATCGAATTCATTCATTGTATTTATATAGGATTAAGGAGTGTAGCTATAAAAAATAATCAAAATCGGAGTTAAAATAACCATTAAATCGTGATTTTTCATTTTATAACCATCGAAAGGTTTTGTTTGGTCACTTGATATCTGAATGTTTGTTTTTTGCGATTTTTTGCTGATACGATCTCGAAGCATATACAAACAAGTTTGACGGTTGGATCGTTGAAATTAGTTTTGTATAATTTGTATCCCATCAAGTTCAATGGTGTGTGTGTGTGTATATATATTTATTTATTAAGTAGATTTAAATCTATTTATTTTGTATGTATAATTGACCGGTACACGGAGTAGTACATTATGTGTCATTATAAAAATAATGGAATATGTCATATGTGTGATAAAAAGTTAATAACTTAAAAAAAATAAAATTTCTCACCACTTTTATTAATTTTCATTTTTCTCTATCTTTTTTGTTTCTTTTTCAGCTTTTCTTATAATTTTCATTTTTCCCTTCCTTCTTTTTCTTCAAAGGGCACTAACCTACCCATCTTTCCCTCTCTTTTTTTGTTTCCTTTTCAGCTTTTCTTATAATTTTCATTTTCCCTCCCTTTTTCTTCAAAGGGTGCAGCAGGAATGGAATGGAATTATAGAATCAATGGATGCATATTAATTAATAATTAATATAGTTTTTATAAAATTTAATTTATATATATATATATATATAATTATAGTTAATATTTTGGGGGTATAATTTATAGTATATACTATATATAATTATTATAATTATTATAGTTAATTTAATATATATATATATATATTTATATATTATAGTTTTTAGGGGTATAAAATTGTTAAATTAATATATATAATTATTATAGTATTTTTTTAGGGTTATAAAATTATAAAATTAATATTCTGCTTATCGTGTATCGTGTTACCCACGTGTATACCCGAATCAACCCGTTATCTTAACAGGTGCTTATCGGGTTACCCGATAACGACCCGATTCGTTATCGTGTCGACCCAAACACCTGTTAATTTCGTGTCGTGTCGTGTCGGGTTATCGGGTCGTGTCAGGAATTGCCAGACCTAGCTATTACAAATGCACCAACTCAGACATTTTCTAAAGTGAGTATTCCTTCAACAATTGGGAAAATCCCGCTGCCAGTTGAGATCATTGAAACACATCCGTTCCATGTGTCCTTATGGTAGAACCGAGACCGAGTAGCACACAAGCGATTTTTTACTTCGCCCCAAGTTGCTCCATTGTTAAAGTGGTTAATTTTGCGAACTTCCGTGTAGACCTGCACACGCACATACACATTGTAAAGGAATGAGGATGGTCATGAGATAACCGCGCTCATACCTGATAAATCATTGTGAGATGACTCAATTCTCAACAAATTTGTTTATTCTAAGTAAATATGCTCTGAGATATATGAAATGCGTTCGATTTCAAATATGTATATACAGATAAAATCACTACTTACCCTGTTGTCCCATGTAACCCTGTCCTTCGGGTTGGCCCAACTCAGCATCCAGTCGCAATTGATACCACCAGCGTTCTTTCCGCGATACACTACAGCGGCAGAAGAGCCCCATTGAATTTTGGGGTCTCTGACGTGCAGAAACGCAGCCCACTGGCCATTTGCAATAAGTGGTGGGTATGGGGACTTTCCCATGAGGCCAATCCAATCTTTTTGACCAACATATTCTAGAGTGCTTCCCGTCGCATTGTAAACAAGGCAGAGAGTGGCGATTCCGGCACCGGATTTTGCCTTCAATTTTTCCGCATGTGTTCGCGCTTTCACGTCCTTCCCGGCCGCGTTTTTCATATTCATGGCCACGCGTGCCCTGTTGATTCTTTCAATTTGCCCCCGCCTACATGCATACTCTCGCATGCCTTCCAAAGTTGCGTTTGTGATGGGTTCGCCAAAGACATTATCTGCCATCTCTCTCAGAATCAAGACTCAACTCATTCGACTCAACTCATTAATTCTCTACCTCCCTCCGTCTGTACATTTTCATCCTATATACATGCATGCATATATATATATATAGACACACACACGTATATATGCACTGTCATATACAAATATATTATTCATTATTAAATAAATAATATAATTATTATAAATATTATAATGAATAAGGATAAGTCATCTTGTTAAATTATCAAATGTTATCATTCATTTCCTAGTTTTCATAATTATTCTAATTAAATCGATTAGAAACCAACAAATAGTAAGTGGACCTACAGTACAAAAAACCCACTCGCTAGATGAAAACAAGTTGCTTCCGAAAGCAGGCGTTCGTCGCCTAGGTTCTAAGATGACAGATATGGATAGTAATTTAACTTGCCAAATTCGATTCCTGTAGGTGCTGATTCGAACAGATCAGTTTTGGGGGATTAAATTTTGAGTATTTTAAGGTTATGAGTAATCGTCGGGTAAATTTTTCGATTTCGAATTCGGTTATAGTTATTGAGGTATCCCGTATCCACCCCAAACCTATTCTCGAAATCATACCATTTTCATTTTTTAGACTTGCAATTATGTGAAGTTTCAAAGTTACAAGTCATGAAGAAGTTGAAAAGATGGATTTACACCAAGCCATATGCATGTAGGTCATGTGGACAAAAAGGTCATAACTTCAAAGGTTATATCTTAAGACTATTTTAAGCAGCTGAACTCACGAAATTGTACTAGAAGTGAAAAAATTAAACAATTCTAATTATGAATATTCTACAATGAAAATTTCGATTTTTATTTAAATTCTAAGTTTATTTCTCACTCAAAAAGAGGGTGATATTAATTATTTATTAATACATTTTTTATCTTGCGTCTTCCTTGTGCACATCCCAACTCTTTGCAATTCCCACTAACTAACCCGTTGCCAGAATTCTCATAAGAGATTAACCATAATGCAAAACGCTAGCTCCAAAAGAAAGTGTCATTTAAATTAAAAGGGTTGATTTTATAGTGAAGCAGTCTATCATAGTCACAATTGGTACGTGCCTCAAGCCAATGGCCAAGCATAACCGAGTATTAAACTCACCTCAAATCGATGTTCACATATATCTTATTGGGGAAGTACTTAATTATTGATGATCAACGTACTAATTATGGATATGTATAAATTCGTCGACAGTAGTTATATGGTCGAATATTTTTTTAATTAATTTGTTAACAAAGTATGGAGATTCATGCACTCCCCTACCTCCTCTCGATCGTTGTATTTTATGGTACTTCAAGTTCACAAATGATCGTGACTTAGTTTACAAGCTTGGATTCTTTCATATTAGACTGCATTTGACTATGCCAAAAATCCTGAGTATTGAAATTCTACTTAAATTTATTAAGATTAGAATAACATACAAGAAGATTCAAAATACAAGCCCATTATTGAACTAAAATTAACATGAAATACTATTGGTTCACACTACCAATTTATTAAAAGTCCCCATGCATGCATACGAGAAATTAAAGTGCGTGGGCTTTACTAGGCCTGGCAAACGGGTAGTGTCTGTCGTGTTCGTGTCGTTTTCATGTAACACATGTATCTTAACGGGTCGTGTCGTGTCACACCCGTTATCTTAACATGTCCGGGTAAAGTGACCCGACCCGTTATGACCGTTAAGAAAAAATATTTTTTTTTCTTAAATTGCACATATCACACATTGCCACATAAATATTACTTCAAAACATTAAAACACATTTGTCGATTAAGTATTACATCTACACTCGAAAATAAGTGCCTAATAAAAAAATAATACATACACTACTAATCTATTACAAATATTAAATGTGCAAGGATATGCAAAATGAAAGAGTTTTTGTTTTCAAGGTTGTGAAGTCTTTCTCAAAAGTTTAAACCTCAATTTACAAAATCCTCGATTTACATCAATCATCATGAAATTGTATTAGAACTTTGGCTTTGATCTCAGCCAATCCAATGGTCATCAAATTTTTAAATTTAATTAATATATATATATATATATATTATATTATATAATTATATAGTTTTTAGGGGTATAAAATTGTTAAATATTATATATAATTATTATAGTTTATTCATACTTTTATTAAGTATAACATAAGATTTTAAATATCCACTAGTGTAATATTTTAAATTGAAGATCGAATTCATTCTTTGTATTCATATAAGGTCAAGGAGTAGCTGTAAAAAATCATCAAAATCAGAGTAAAATAACCGTTAAATCGTGATTTTCGTTTTAAACCGTCAAA